TGCAAATAGACGCCTTCAGAAATAGTTCCGGACCAAGGAAAAACGGACCAATGACAACAAAATTGAAACAGTAACTTTATTAACAACAATAAATTGACATTCCTTGTCAAATAAAGCATATATCAAAACTAGATATACATATATCCATTATCAAAAGCTATCACTCCACAACTATTTTTTTATTTAAAACGAAGTCAGAAACACTTGCATATTTATATGTAGCCACAATGGCTTGTCTAGATAATTAAGATAAGAAAAATAATTTCGAAAAGTCCCTGTGATTTTGCTACTTCTGGTTATTAATTTTGTAAATATGTTTTTTTTTCTCACATGATGTACAAAATATTGCCCCATTAGGATATTCTGACAAGGTGAAGTTAACGACGCCATCAAAAGACCATGGCTGCAATAGTAATAATGGTATTGACTTATCTGCAAATAAATTGGCAACCATACAACTTAATGCTAGAATCACTGTAATTCCTCCACCAGTATGAGTGATTTACATTATTCTGATAGTGTAACAAACAAGCTCTGTCCCGTCAGTTTATCCTAATAGGGATCTATGAAGGTATAATGGAATGCTGACAATATTCCTATATTGAACAATCATTTTAATTTGTCACACGAAAAAAAAAAAACAAGAGCCTGTTTCAGGTCACGAAATACGCCTGTGATTTTGTCTGACTATCACCTACACTATTTATGCTGTATATAATATATTGCATTTGTTTCAATGGTAATTGCGTAATACTTTGCAAAGTTATTGCACCGACATTGAAAAGGTTACAGACATTAATGGGCCGTAACTCTAAAAGTTGTGGATCAAAAATCATGGAAATCAAACTCAATCTAGCTTTGATTGTACTTAAGCTTGCAATGAAAGTTAAAAGAAATCTGTTAAGGCTTAATAAATTCCAAAATCGCTGGGACATTGAAATGTTTACGAACAGAGGGACATACGGACGGAAGATGGACGGATGGAAGACGAGAATACCATAATATGTCCTGTCATTTGACGGATGTATAAAATACATAAATATCAAACAAAAAAAAGAAGTAAATAAATGTAAAGATCATAAATCTAAAATAATAAGCAAAATCACTTGAGGTACGCATATTGTGCATAAAAATACATTGAAAAATTAATTTAAGATTAGAAACAAGAGGCCCATGGGCCTTATCGGTCACCTTAGAATCAATCACTTCACAAGCAATGGTAAGAACTGACAGTATTTCTGATATTGATTTACATTTATTATTAACAGCTAATAGTTGTCTGCTGTTTAAAGAATTATAAAAAAAAATCATCACATGTTTTGTTTTTTATTTGTCTATTTCATTATATCTAGGAACATTTATCTTATAGTGATATAGTGACAGCTGTCAGTTGCTCACTTATTATGAGTCCATACTAGTTTATGGAGAAATTACTGAAATTAGCATGTCTATGTGTGCTTGATGATGAAGATAATGATGTTGACTGTGTCTAAGAATCTGCAGCATCCTTATGCATGGAAGTTAAAGTGTGTGAAGAAACTGATAATGAGGATGTGTGATGCTGCTGTGTGATGTTGCTGATGTTGGTATATATGATGATGTTGAGGTGTGACGATGCTGATTTGGTATGTGATAATGCGGATGTGTAATGCTGCTGAAGTGTGATGATGCTAATGTTGATAGGTGACCATAATGATGCTGATGGTATGTGATGATGCTAATGTGTGACGAGGATGATGATTGTATATGATGACGTTGATGTCAGATGCTGATGTTGTTTGTATATGTAACAATGCTGGAGTGCTAGTATGGCTGCAAGTTATAAATATATGTTTAGAGTGATTGTGTTACACAGTGTCTATGATAGTTAAGATATAGTGTGCAACTCAAAATGCTGTGTGTTTAGTGGTGAAAATGATGCATGACTATACTCTGTAAGTGTGTGACGATGGGAGTTATAGACTGATAGTATATATGAATCTATTTATTCCTCATGTGTTTTTCGATAAATAAAAAATAAACAAATATATATAAATAAATAAAAATAAAATTGATATTATCCCTGTTAATAATTAACATTTAAAATTACTTTTGCTAAATGATTCTCTTGGCATGTTTAAATGGGTTAAAATTTCCCTTGCACCGGTTGCAGTGCGCTTCCATAAAATTCTACAACGATACTACGCGATCTCTAAAAACTACAGCTGAAGCACCATTTCATCAATTAAATAATATTAATATAATACAAAAAGAACTATTACTTACGCATAAGAACTCACCACAGTTCCCCTGTAAGCAATTTCTTTCCGTGAGGTGCGCGTAATACCCGCCATGCTTACATAAAAATAAAATCAAGTAGGAAAGCTCCGTGCGGGGAGGTAACTCTGCACGAACGTCAAAAATATTCTGATATGAGAAAACATCAAGAATACTCGACTTAGAGAAGGAAAATGAAATTCTTTGAGAGAAAGTGAAGCAGCTAGAAAATCATGTGAAGGTGTCAGAGAAAAAATAACATTAGCTAAGGACACCAGCTGAATTATCTGGAATAACAGGGAAGGAAGAATTCTATCCGGATATTAGGCCTAGAGGACAACAAAGAATTAGAGATGGCGGAGGCACGAGTGGGGAAAATTTTCTTCCGTCGGAAATTTCTTGGAATCTAACGACATAGATATCGCGCATAGGCAAGGACTTTTCAACAGGGACAGACCACTAGGTTCCCAGTTTCGTTTAAGCAACTGGTGTTTGAATGCGAGATACGTATAAGATTAACTGTCCTAATAACAGCTATGGGAGTCTTAATTTCTATCTGAAAATTTGTGTGGTCTGTTGTGTCTGTCACAAACAACCCGAAGCCAGCCATGCCTTCAACGCAAGAGACCGTTTATTGTTTTCTATACAGGAGAGTTACAATTTGGGCGGGACCAATTACATAGCCGAAAGATGTGTCCCAAAATCCGGAATAAATTAAAATAGTAAATACATAACATATCCTCCCTTCCAGGTTTTGAAATTAACTAATAGACCAATTACTCAATAATTCCAAACCTTTATATTACTATTAAAGAGACACCGTTCCAAAAATTGTCATTGTCAATATAACTGAAGTGTCATACTACTAACAATTTAACTGAATATCTATCTAGAAACTATGAGGTTCTGTGGTACACACCAGGATTATTATGCCTGAACACCGTGTGCCAACTTCTGACTAGCTATTTACAAAGTGCTTATACTTAATGGGTGGACACATCCGAGTAGACCATTTTGAATACCTTGGACTGGAGGTTGGCTCCTTCGATGAAGACCCAGAGAATGAGGTCACCAATGGTGATTTGGTAAGAGATGGAGTAGAGATCAGTGCCGATTGACCACTGTCATCACTAGTGTTTTCCTGAGGAATCACTTCCGGTTCTGATGGTTTGTAGCCACCTGATGATGTCGTGGATACTGGAAGTGGTAAGTTAACCTTTAATGGAAGTTGGGCAGTGGCATCCCTTAGTTGATCAATGTGGCGTCTCCAGTATACTCCTGGTGAGACTTCTACACGATATAATACAGGACCGGTTTGTTCGAGGATTTTTCGAGAAACCCATTTATCCTCACTATGCCTCCGATGTGGTTACACTTTGGCCTAGTTCAAAAAACTTGGCTGTCGAATTGCGATTAAATGTCATTTGACTCTGTTGGCCTTCGACTCTATCTCTGACATTTGGAAGTAGAGAGTCTAACCTTGATGGTAGTTTATGTCCTATGAACAACCTGGCTGGTGACTCATTGGTTGTGGCATGTGTCGAGTTCTGATAAGCGAACAAGAAGTTTGCCAACGTCTTTGTCATTGAACCGCTGTCTTTTCAGCTAGCCTTCATTGCTGTCAATGACTGCACAAATCTCTCTGCCAGTCCGTTGCTGCTTTGGTGGTATGGAGCAGATGTACAGTGCTTGATTCCGTTCGCCTTGACAAAGTTTTTAAAACTTTCAGAAACAAATTGTGGTCCGTTGTCACTAACGATTTCAGTCAGTTTGCCATTCCTAGCAAATATCATCCGGAGTACATCCTTGATGTTCTGTTAGCTCTGTCCTTCTCAAGGAGTAAGGTTTGAGGTTAGGATCCGAGAGTTCCTCATTCCAGCCATTTATTATCAACTGCATGACGGTTGCCATGACAGGATCAAATTTCGTCTCCTTACGAATCGGTGCTTGTGTCACTAGCAATTTCTCTTACTGGCTTATGTTTATTGCATTTACTGTCTCATCATCATCGTTGTCTGTTGTAAATGTTGTTACCTTCATTGGCAACCTGGATAAACTATCCGCATTTCCATGGGCTGTCGTAGATTTGTACTCAATCTTGTATGTGAGACCAGAAAGAGACAGAGCATATCTCTGCATTCTTGCAGCTATTGTGAACGGAATCCCCTTCTCCGGGTTAAAAATAGAGACCAAAGGTTTATGGTCTGTGATGAATGTGAGCTCTCGCCCAAACAAGTAGTTGTGGAAATGCTTAACTCCCCAGATTAAAGCTAAGGCCTCTTTATCAATTTGTGAATAGTTTCGTTCCACTGTGTTTAATGTTCGAGAAGCGTATGCGATTGGACGTTCTGTCCCATTCTTTCCATTACGTGCGACAAGACTGCCCCAAGTCCAACTGGAGAAGTGTCACATGCCAACCTCACGGGTTTAGCTGGATCGTAATGTGTCAACACCTCTTTCGATGTGACAAGCTGTTTGACTTCGTTGAATGCTCATTCACCATTCTACTTCCACTTCCGGTCTTTCTCCAACAGCCTCTGTAGTGGGTGAAGTACAGTTGACAGGTTTGACAGAAAGAAATGACCTTAATTATCCAACATCTGTAGGCACTGGTGCCTGTAAAACAGCTTCAATTTTACTGTCAGTTTTATACAGACCTTCCGTATCTTTTTCATGACCACAGAACGACACCTTTGACTTGAAAAATTCACATTTGTCCTTTCGCAGTGGTAAGTTGTATTTATCTAACCGCTCGAAAACCGCTTCCAGATTTTGTAAATGTTCCTCATCTGTTTTCCTGTAATCAACATTTCATCGATGATGCACTGAACTCCTTGTAGACCTTGGAGAACAGTATCCATGGCACGTTGCCATATCGCTGGTGCAGACGCAATAGCGTAAATGAGCCGATTGAACTTGTATAGTCCCTTTTCAGTGTTAATGGTAAGTAAATCTTTGGAATCCTCCTCCACCTCCATTTGGAGATAGGCATGCTGTAAGTCCAGTTTCGAAAACCTCTGGCCATCTGCAAATGATGCAAAAATATCAGCAGTACGCAGTAATGGGTATTGGTCAACCTCCAACATTGGGTTAAGGGTTACTTTAAAGTCACCACATAATCGCACTGAGTCGTCGCGTTTGATCACAGGGACAATTGGTGTACCCCACTCAGTGTAGATGATTTTGGGTAAGGTTCCAGCACTGACTAGACGATCCAATTCCTCGTCGACCTTGGGTTTAATGGCATAAGGTACTGTCCTGGCCTTGCAAAATTTTGGATGTGACCCTGGCTTAACATTAACATTAAGCCTTTATGTCTTTCAACGTACCCCAGTCATCTTTGAAGATTGACGGATGGGCATCCATTATTGGCTCCAGCATTTGTTGTACACTTGAACAAATATTAGACTTGGAATCCACTTGTGTGCGTTCATGGTACATGTTTGAGCAATCGAGTGTGATTTCACGAAGCCATTCACTGTCAAATAACGGTCTGCCTACGTAAGCAACAACATATAGATCTAGTTTTCTGGTCTGTCCATTGTACTCAACCTTGACCTTGGCCACTCCAAGTGTACATAGTTCTTCACCAGACTATGTTTTCAAGCAAATGTCTGTCTTCAACAATTGTTTCATTTTACTTTTCAAGTGTCCCTTATACACTTCCTCTGTAACGACTGTAACTCCAGATCCTGTGTCCAATTCCATTTTGAGTTCATGTCCATTTATTGTGGGTTTTAACCAAATTGAGTCTCGACCACAGCTATTGGTAGTGTTTACATTGACCAGCTCAATATGTGCAATGAATTCCTCATCCTCAGACTTACATTCAGCTGTTAGGTAGTGTGCCTTGTGGACCTTCCTTCTACATGCCCTTTTTATATGACCGCGAAAATCAGATCAGCGTATTATTGGCCTGGACTTCAGAAAGACGTCAGATTGTGGTGTGCAAGCTGCGAGACATGTGCCAAGCGCAATAGATATGGCCAGAAACCCAGAGCTCCACTGCAGATTAGCGCTGCTGGAGGCCCAGGAGAACGGGTCGCTCTGGATTTAGTTGGACCGTTTCCAAGAACTGACTGGGGCAACACCCATGTCCTTGTTATAGGGGACCATTTCACCAAATGGAGGGAGGCAGTAGCTCTACCCAACGCGGAAGCTGTGACATGTGCACAGGCTCTGGTGGAAGTTTATGTGTCAAGGTTTGGAGTGTCTCGCATCCTCCACTCTGATAGAGGCGACAATTTGAGAGCAGAGTTTTCAAGGAGATGTGCCAGTTATTGGGTGTCCGTAAAACACAAACGACTGCTTACCACGTCCAGTCCAACGGTTTTATAGAGAGATTTAACCGCACCATGGAGGGAATGCTGTCGGCATATATCGCAGAAGATCAAAAGGATTGGGACCTTTGCCTCCCTCTTATACTCATGGCGTACAGAGCCGCTGAACACGAATCAACGGGGTTTTCTCCTAACCGAATGATGCTGGGAAGGGAGGTGGCGCTTCCTGTTCATCTGACCATGGGTAGTGTTTCAGAGGAGCTTCCTTTAGGAACTACTCAGTGGGTCCAGGAACTACAAACTGGTCTAGAAGAGGTTCATGAGGTTCATGAGATTGCGCGGCAACACTTTTGAGAGTTTGAGAAGACAGAAGAGACAATATGGCACACGTAAAAAGGCAATGTCATATCAACCTGGTGATCGTGTCTTGGTCTACACTGGGCGTAAGACTGTCGGTCTCTCGCCAAAGTTGCAGTCCTGCTGGAAGGAAGGGTATGAGGTGGTGGAGGCAATTGACTCTGTGACTTACCGGGTAAAGAAACCCCCTAACCATTGTGACATTGTCCATCATGACAGACTCAGACTTTTGCAGAAGCGTCCCGATGGTTTGGACGGGGATGATTGTTCCGGACCCTTCCTGGCCAATAAGCAAGAGGAAGGAACTCGGGCTGACACGGACCAGGCAACAGAGTTTGAGGGTCGCGTGGCTGAGAACGAAGCGGAAATGGTGCCCCCGTTGACGCAGGAGAGTCAATTCGGGAGGAAACGTCGAAAAACAGGTCGTTTTGTCAACTATGTTCTGTTTCGCTGTTCTCCACAGTTCACGGAGGTTAGCGCCGATGGAGTTCCATACCGCGAGGAGCCACGCAGCTTCCATACATTTCAAACATTTCAAATGTTTTCGTGTGGCGGAAGTATCATTAGATGATGAGACGGCCACTCCACTTGCTGTCACGTACGTTGATTGACCGTTGACATTTGTGCTGTGTCATCAATTGAAAGATCGCCCTGCACGTGTTATTTGAATATTTGGCGGGAAGACAGGTATATAAGCCCTGACATTTTGAGATTCTGTCACCATTCTGCCAGGATGCCTAACACCAAAGGTACCTGGAGCCCACACAGCCGGGAGGAACTTAACCGCCTGCTCCAGTACTCTTGCGACGCCTCCGGCAAAAGATACAAGCATGAAGAAGGCCTGCAGAGACATCGAAAGCAGGAACATAAACAATTGAGACCAGAGTCTTCCCCTAAACAAGCATATGGTGGCTGAAGAGGAGATAGTCCTCTTAGCGGAACCTGAAGGGTCCAGGCCTGCCACCCACTGTGCGGCGTAAAGACAGGGTAATTAAGGCATTAGTCGTGTTATCCTGCGAGGAGGGAACCCAAACGGAGGTAAGACCGCGTCAGATGGAACGAGTGAGGATCCGGGAGTGGACAGAGCTGGTCGGCGGGCGAATGGTGAAGACGGTGGAAACAGAGACAGCCCGGGAGACGTTGTACGTGGAGTGGTGAAGATCAGTAGATGACCGCGGATAGAGTTGTAAGGGGTATATGGAGGGAAAGGTCAGGCCGAGTGCCTATCCTTGGGGCTTCGACCAGTCAGCCGAGTGCCTACCCTAGGAGCTGCGACCAGTCAGCTGGTAGCCGTATCATTTCCCAGTCAAATAGCCTTGTCCAAACCTAGTATTTCGCCGCCGGTGGGGAAAATTGTACCTTGGGTGTCATTCCGTGTCCAATAAACTGTTGACTCTATATCTGTCTCCTGGTTATCCAATAGAACCCACCCACAAGTGTCCATAGTGGGGCACGGAGACGTGGCGTGTCTCGGGACCCGTTTTGCAAGCGCTACCAACTAAGGCAGACCCCGCACAAGTTACAGTATTCTTCAAAATCTATTTTAAAACCTTTTTGGAAGTAGAAGCCATTTAGTGAAATCAAATTTTGTATCAATACAGGGTTAGAAACAAATATTTTCAGCTACTCGTCTGTCGGGCAAGTGAATCTTGAAATTCACTTGCCCGAATACAATATTCACTCGAGGAACAAAGGCAACAAAACGTAATTTAAGGAACACATATACTAAAAGGATAAAGAAACGCAGGGTGAACTTTAAACCAGAAATTAAGTATGATATCGGGCTTCATTTAAAACGAAATTTTGTATACTTACAGATAAATTAAAGCTTAAAAATGTCCAAAGTCTGTATTTTGCATCTGACAATTGGTTAAGAGGTACTAACGATTAAATTGAATGGACCCATAGGATTTTGAAATTGAAATTGAACTGAGTCATCAATATCTTGTGTGTCCGCCGTTTGCTGTGGTCACGGCCCTTATTCTTCTGGTCATAGAGTTCATGAGAGCGTTAATCCGTCTTATGGGGATGTTGTCCCACTCTTCAATCAGAGCTCAGGTCAACTGCTCTCGAGTAGCAGGGTGTGGCTGGCGCTTTCGAACCTGTCTATTCAACTGGTCCCAAAGATGCTCAATCGAGGACAAATCAGGGTTATATTGCGGCTAATCTAGTGGTTGAATGTTGTTGTTGGCCAGAAAGACTTGGCAAATTCTTGCTACGTGGGGCCTAGCATTATCCTGCTGGAGGGTTAGATTATGCTGCTGTAAGAAAGGGATAACATGGGATCGGAGGATCTCATCTCTATACTTAGCTGCTGTTGAATTGCCATCAATAACAACCAATTGTGATTTTAACCCGTGTGAGATTCCTCCCCACACCATTACTGAACCGCCCCCAAACCTATCCCTCTCTACAACGCAAGCGTCCGTAAAACGTTCGCCACGACGTCGGTAGACACGTTGACGGCCGTCAGATCGATAAAGACAGAATCGAGACTCGTCCGTGAAGAAAACTTGTCTCCACTGCCTCAGTGGAAACCGTCGTGGAGCATGTGCAGCGACCCAGGCCATACGACGCTGACGTCGAGCAGGGGTAAGGTGTGGACCTACGTAGGGGCGACGTGCTCTTACACCAACTTCTCGTAATTGATTCCTTACAGTTTTTGAACTTATAGGTCGCCCATGATTTCCACGAACATTAAGTGCACTTCCAACGGCAGTAAGGCGCCGATTACGCACACGAGAGACGACGATATAGCGATCCTGACGTTGTGACGTTACGCGCCCAGTTTCCCAAAGACGTCTTACAAGACGTTCTATGGTGGAAACATTAACACCACTCTAACAGATGTGAAAAGATGGGAAGAAATATTAGAAACATGATAAAATAAGCTTATGGTAAAAATTTCTACCACTCTAACAGATGTGAAAAGATGGAAAGAAATATTAGAAACATGATAAAATAAGCTTATGGTAAAAATTTCTACCACTCCTACAGATGGGAAAAGATGGGAAGAAATATTAGAAATATAATTAAATAAGCTTATGGTAAAAATTTCTACCACTCCTACAGATGGGAAAAGATGGGAAGAAATATTAGAAACATGATAAAATAAGCTTATGGAAAAAATTTCTACCACTCCTACAGATGGGAAAAGATGGGAAGAAATATTAGAAACATGATAAAATAAGCTTATGGTAAAAATTTCTACCACTCCTACAGATGGGAAAAGATGGGAAGAAATATTAGAAATATAATTAAATAAGCTTATGGTAAAAATTTCAACCACTCTAACAAATGGGAAAAGATGGGAAGAAATATTAGAAATATTATAATTAAATAAGCTTATGGTACAAATTTCTACGACTATAACTAATAGGAAATGATGGGAAGAAATATTATAATAAAATTCAAATTATGAAGGTATAAAAACTGTTTAAGGGCTACTAAAAATACTAAATTACTTTGGATATAGTACAGATTGGTCAACATATTTTAACAAGAAAAGCTGGATTAATGGAAACCAACATTGCAAAATTATGTAATTCAGAGAGAGAGAGAGAGAGAGAGAGAGAGAGAGAGAGAGAGAGAGAGAGAGAGAGAGAGAGAGAGAGAGAGGGGGGGGGGGAGGCAATTATTAATATTATGTGAGAATGTCAGGTTTTAGAAAGTGTAGAAATTCTGCCGGAATTCTTCTTATTCCAATTCATTAAAAGAAGTTTTATTTTTGGGTTACTTGTTGAAAATGAACAGGTCATTGGTAACAGACAATGGAATTTTTATTATCATCAAATTATATATATATATACAAGACAAGGCGTCAAAATAATATGTGAAGTCCAAAAGAAGTCAAGGAGTTTTATATTTTTAGCTCACCAGGGTCGAAGGGCCAAGGTGACCTATAGGGATACTGCGGCATTCGTCACCTTTTACTATATATTGCAACTATTCATGAACAACTGAGCGGATTTAATCAAATTTGGTCTGAAGCTTCCTTGAGAAAGTGGAACCATTTTTGTGTAAACGATGGGTCTGGTCTTCTCTGGGCCAGAGGGGCAAGGCACAATAGGG